GGGAATTTTCATAATGTATTTGTATTTTGTTTATTTTTTATTTTTTATTTAATTTAATAAAGTAAAATTAGATTTATGTAAATATAATTATAGTAAACTGTAATATAAATAGTAAATTCAGTGACCAAATCGTATAAATTTCGTGATAAAATCAGTGATCAAATCATGTAAATTCCATATGAATTCCATGCAAATTTCGTATCCAACCCATATTTTTAGTGATACGGAATTGTGCATTTTTCCGTATCCTATTATGATACGTTATTTCTAAGGAAAAAAATCGTATAAAAACTTTATAAAAAACGTATCCAATATTTTTATAGGGAAATAATAAATTATAATTATGATAACTTTGTTAACTTTCAACTTTAGAAACAGATAATCCAAGGTATGGATCAAGCTTATTAAAAAGGAAAATTTTTCTTTTAATATGAAATCCTTCAATTGGTTTAAAAACAAAATTCCTAATTAACATAGCTAATAATATTTTAATTTCAATTAAGGATACTTTAATGCCTATACAAGTTCTTGTACCAGTAAGGAAAGGCAAATAGTTTAGATTTGATACATTCTTAATTAAGGAAGGATCCAACCATCTTTTTGGATCAAATTCAGCAGCTGATGGACCCCAAATTTCGGGCAGTCTATGAAGTTCTGCAATTGAAATTTTCATTATAGTATCCTATTTTAAAACAATAAAAAAAAAAATCAAATTAATAATTTTGAATTTTTTAGCAAAAAATATATAAACGGTAAATATACCTTTGGAACATGATATCCTCCCAAAACTTCATCTTTAGTACTAAGTCGACCAGTAGTAGGAACTAAAATAAAATTACATAGTTAATAAGATGATACAAAAAAGAATTAAAAATTTAATTTATACCTGGAGAATGTAATCTCAAAGTTTCTTTAACTACGCAATTTAAATATTCCAAAGAATTAATTTCATCAAATGTAGGATTGAATTTTGATTTATCGGGAAAAGCTTGTAATAATTCTTCACGCAATAAGTCTTGCTCATGCGGATCTTGTGCAAGAGAATATAAGGCCCAACAAATTGCTGTAGCTACTGTTTCATGTCCCGCTAATAAAAATGTCATAACCTAAAATATTCAAAAAAAGTGATGAGATAATATGTTTGATGAATAAGCAATATATTAATAAGAAAATTGTGATATCGCTGGTAGGATTTGTCACATTATATTGGATCCATTCCCTGTAAAAAGTATTTTATATTTCCATGTTTTTTCCATGAATGTATCATTATCATGGAATTTATAGTCGTCTTAAATCATAAAAATTTTATCCCTCTAACACGGATATCCGTCAATGTATTATATTCACGGAATTTTTTACGAAAACCATGGAGAAATAATGGAAATAATTGGATAAAAATTTTTTATAGGGATGGCGACAAATTACAAAATTCTTTTATTTACCTGATATTTTAATTCTTTGTCAGTTATTTTCTCTTCAATGGGTAATGAATTATTGATATTAATTAAATGAGATAAGAGATCTTTTCCTTCCAATTCACCAATTTCTGCTGCTTTACATTTTTCTTCAATCAACTTCTTTGACATGTGATCAATAATTTCACATGCATTTCTAAACTTTCTGTTTATATCTATTGGAACATTTCTAATAAATGGCACATAAGCTGATAAAAAACTAATGGCAAGGCGTAAAGAAGGTTGTGAGTCATTTGTAAAAATATTGAGAGCTTCTGTTAATTCATTTGAAGACGTTAATGAATTAAATTCGTAATTAAATCCTAAAAAAAAAATTTTTTCTTTAGAAATTTTTCTTATTATAATGTGAAAACATCAACATTGAAAAAAATTATCATCTTCTCACCAAATGAGCCAAGCGCATCTAACGCAGCTTTTGAGATATATGGAGTAAGATTGAATTTAGATTCTCCTAAGTTCACTTTATCTTCGATTAAACATTTTAAGGTAAAAGCTACTCGAATAATTGTTGGAACCGTTTCCTAAAATTGAATGAACATATTAATTTAATTCAATTAACTTTATATTATACTACCTACAATGAATTATAATTACTTTGATATTATTATGAATGAAAGCCAGATTCATCATTTTTCTTTGTCTCATATGATCTTCACCTTCTGAAAATATAAGACCTTTACCGCCCATTGCAAGAGCATCAGACATCATACGAAGAGGTTTAATAAAATCATAAACATGTTTTGACGTAATGTCTTGAATTATTTTTGTATCTGAAATAAGAAGCATTGGTTGATTAAATATTCCATGATATCTAATAATATTCCCGTATTCTTGTACCCATTTAAGTTGCGTGTCCTATATAAAAAGAAAGAAATGTATAAATGAGAATTATGACTAACGATTTAATATTATTATTTATTAATTAATAACCTCTTTTGTAAAAATTGTTTTAAGATTTCCGTAAAGTAGACTTTCAGATGGTGGACCAGGAATTTTTCTCAAAGGAGTAATATAAATTGGCCAAATATATATTTTATAAGTGATCCATCCTATAACTCCTAACACAAAAAGACTAACAAAAGAAGTCAAATCAAGCATTTTGTTTTTTGTTGTAAATAAATAATTTTCGTGAGGAGAAAATTATCGCAAGATACAGTGCCCGGAAAAAAGTATAAATGACGATAATCGTTATGATAATCCCTTCTATATAGAGGTTTTTATTAATAATTAACGTTTATTATGAACTGCACCATCTCTAAAAATTTCGTGCAAGTGCGACCCTCACCCCTAAGGAATCGGTTTTCGCAAATGTGGAAAACCCGAAATTTTTCAGAATAACTTTGTAGAAAAGGTTCGATTGCTAGTGTTACCGGTGTTGACGGTAATTAAGGGACGTATTGTAGATAACTTATATCGTATAGACACACGAATACCAACGGGATTCTTACTCAATACTACCTTTCCTGGTATTTCTGGTATTGTTTGTTAAGAATCGTCAAGGTAAACAATTAATAAATACGATTAGTAATAATACATGATGGGTATAAGACAAATCTTATGTGAATATACAAAAACAACGTGTAAAATTAACTGAAATATAACGATTTTATTTAATAGAGGTAGAATTTCGGATTTACAACAAGGTGATGAAAGGGTGTTGGGAAATATATCTCAAAGATAACTAACTAGAGGGGTAACTACTCTATCATGAATTTGGCAAAGGCGTATTTATGGCTAATTTTATCTTACTGCCATCTCTTTTTCTGACATCAATGGCGGAATCTAATCTAATCGTTAATGTTTCATCACAATATTACAATAGCGATAATTTTCATTGTAAGCCACTTTTTAATAGAACACAAATGATAAATTTTGGACAATTAATACTATTAAATTAATTTCCATATAATAACTTCTAATAAAATTGTATACACATAAATAATACAAATAAAGAAAATAAATAAATATATAAATAATAATAAATTGAATAAATTGAATAAATATAATAATGATATATATGTAAATTGAATAAATATAATAATGATATATATGTAAATT